CAGATTCTCATCTATGAGCCGACGTTGCTCGCGCTGCTGGATCGGGTGTAATCCCTGTCTCTAGCCGGCGAAGAGCTGGAAGCAGTCACCGAGGAGAACAATCCCATCTCTTGGCCCGAGAATCCTGTCTTGGAAACCGAGAGACAATGTGGGGAACCTGACAAGCTTGATGAGCTAAAGCCCGGTAACGTTTAAGGTAGTGGAGAAGGTACGGTACCCCTTACGTGCTTTTGTGGCTCTTTGAGCCTCCTCGCACGTTTCTCGGTCGCAGATCCGACCTCGTCGGCAGTCTTGACCAAGATAAGCAAGGCTTGATACCGAAGTTGGCACCACCTGATGGCCCCTCGCAGAGCTTGGCCATTGAGCCTTATCGCCTGTCGGTGAAGGATTCGGCTTCGCTTGCGGGGAACATGGCCAGACAAGATAGCATGCCCCTTGCTAGGCTATGTCGGCGCAATTCCAAGGAACTCCTCCGTAAGCTAATTCTTTTAGCTCGAGATTGTTGGGTTGGGGTCGCGGTTCGCGGTTCGCCGTAAAAAGTTAAAAATCCAAAAGGGAAAGGCGGCATCTTGGCCCCACCTTCCTTCTCGCTCTTGGGCACGCGACCTGAGACCGCTGCAGTCAGCCCCCTCAGCTGCTGCCTGGAACAGCTCTCATGAGAAACGTTGAATTGGGGGCTGAAAACCTAAATCGGCCCCCAACGGCGCCGCTTCCGGGCTCATCGACGCCGATCGAGTCAGCCTCGGAGACTCGGAAGTGTTCGGAAATACTTGACGGCTCCGGAGCCAGCGATGACTTCTGCCTTGAGCGTTTCCATTTATTGAACATCTCAAACAGCATTCATCCCCATGTAGCATCATTCTTTTTATTCTCTTTGTTCTTCAATTTAATCTGTACACAACGCATCCTTCCCAGTTTCCACACACTGAAATTTAACTTCCACCTAATATTCCTACCCATCCACAGTCACCTACGTATTAAATCCCCAACCCAAAAGAAACATGACATCCCAACCAGAAATCCAAGTCCCATCCCTCACCCTCTACAGCGGCTTCCCCGCACGCGGACGGCACGTCGCCTCGCCCTTCGTAAACAAGCTTGAGACCCGCCTGCGCCTCGGCGGCGTCACCTACAAGGTCGCCACGGGGTCGGTGTTTAAGGCGCCCCGCGGCAAGATCCCCTACCTCGATGTCGAGGGAGCCCCGGGCACGGCCCCGGAGCAGCTGGCCGACTCGACGCTCATCACGCGCAGGCTGGTTGGGGATGGGTATCTCCAGGATTTGAATGCGGGTTTGACGCCGGTGGAGAGGGCGAGGGATTTGGCGGTGAGGGCGTTGTTGGAGGATAAGTTGTACTTTTATCAGGTGAGGACGGCCGACGCGGGTGGTACCTAGAAAAGGGGAAAGGGGCCGACCGGCTAACCTCGGCAGGTCCGTGAGCGGTGGATTGACAACTATTACGTGATGCGGGACAACGCCCTCAGCGCCATGCCCTTCTTTGTGAGGTTCTTCATCGGTCTGTTGGCCTACCGTTCCACAAAAGCTAGGCTCCTCGGCCAGGGCGTGCTCCAGTTTACAGATGACGAGGCCAAGAACACGAAGCTGGAGGTTTGGGGGAACGTGAACGCCCTGTTGGTTGATTCGCGCAATAAGGCCTACGAGGCCGAAAAGGCCGGTCCTTTTTGGATTCTCGGTGGCGCCAATCCCACCGAGGCTGACGCGACCGTCTTTGGTTTTATTGCTGCGGCTCTGGATTGCGCACAGTAGGTTTCCCCTTCCTGAGATGTCAACGTTGGAGTGATAGCCAGTGTTAACGACCGTCCTAGGGCACCGGCTACAGAACAGATAGTCCGCAGCTTTCCCGTCATTGTGGATTATGCGAGGAGGATTCACGAGCAATACTTTAGTGACTATGAGCTTTGGAAGGACTAGGAAAGGTCGTGAGAAATTGGGTTATTAGGATACTCCAACATTGATACCATTCATCCCTAGTGGATCATCTACCGTAGCCGAGTTTGGTTCTGCCATTGCTTCCCCCTAATAGGACTATAGACGAGGATAACCAGAAAAGAGCGGCAGTATCAACGCAGTGTGAGTGGCTGCCTTGGCGACTCTTCGGGGCCTTCCCATGATGTTACTTAACTCTGCTTCAAACATAAGGGAAGTTTCGCAAGCACCTTTAGGTTGCCACCTGATCGTCAGGAAACATTACTCCAGGGGCAAACTTGCAAGGTAGCACCGGCACGTCCTCTATGCTAACGTTTTGTCCATCCCATGTTCCATAAGTTGATAACCGATCAAAAGTGATATCAAAACAATCTAGACAAAAGAAGTACATGGCTAGTGGCCTCATCCCCCCATCAATCACTTTTTCTCCAAATCTTCTGTCTCAACAGCAACGGCTTCTTGATCTTCCATGTCCCGGTTTCTCCTGTGAATCGCTTCTCCAACGTGATCATCAACAAGCTGCCGCTCCGGAACGAAGGACGAAAACTTCCGCGCAGCCACTCTTTTCTCGAATAACTCGTCCAGCTGCTCCAAGCTCCTCCCCTTCGTTTCGGGAACAAAGAAAAACGCCCACACGGCCACAACTAAGTTGCTCCCGCCCCAGATGTACCCATACTTTGGCCCCCATCCCAAATGGTCCGGGTTGATGAAGTAGGGGGTAAAGAAGGAGACCAACCAGCCGACAATGAAGTTCAGCCCCGATGCGGTACCCACAGTCTGCGAACGCAACCGTTGGGAGGGAATCTCGGTCCCAAGCGCCCATAAAACCGGTCCCTGGCCGACACCATACACCCAGGTGTAGACGATGCTCAAGGCGACGAGCGCTTTGCTTGCGGCAGACGAGTGCCCACCCGAGGCGGTGTAGACAATGGCCATGCCAAACATCATGGCTGACGAGATCACCGAGGTGACGACGAGGAGCTCGCGGCGCCCAAAGTAACGCATCGCCGGGAACGCCAACATGTTGCCCGTCAACGCGATCGCCAAGGATATCATGACCCAAGCAAAGGGTGAACCGACCCTGGCCTGCACGAACAGGTACACCGAGAACCCAGCCATGAACGTGACGCCAGTGGCAATACCGGCAATATTCGCCCCGTAGCTGAGCAGTGTCCGTCGAAGGTCCGAGCCCCTGAACATATCGGTCAGATGCACCCCGGCGTGTATCTCTTGCTCCATCAAGAACGCGCTCTTGATGTCCTCCACCTCGGCCCGGAGCAGCACCTCATCCTTGATCCCGCGCAGCCGTCGGATCGCCCGCATCGCCTTGTCCTCCCGCCCCTGAGTCACATAAAACCGCGGCGTGTCCGGCAGAAACAGCAACAACACCGTCAGAAACGCCGGCACAATGTACATGACCCCCAGCGGGATCTTCCACGAAGCCGTGCCCCCATACGGCTGGCAATAATTATCGACCAAAATCCCAAACAACGCCCCCAACGACGTCTGAAACGTGCTCATCCCCACAATCGGCCCCCTCAACATCGACGGCGCCGCCTCCGTCATATATGTCACACAATACGGCACCAAAAACCCATTCGACACCCCCAACAACAACCTGCCCGCATACAACCCCCCCAAACTATGCAACCCCAACTGCAACGAAACCGACAAAACCGCAAACCCACACCCAACCCACAACCCCACCCGACGCGACACGCGCGCATGCGCAAAATAAATCGCCACCGCCGCCACGAACCCGCCCACGTTCATCAGCGACTGGATCAGCCGCTGCACGTCGGTGCTGATGTTGAGCCCGAGCGGGTTGCTGGCGTCCACGTACCCGTACACCTCGAGGAAGCCCGGCATGCTCTGGAAGCCGGCGATGGCGGCCGAGTCGTAGCCGTACTGGAATTGGCCGAGCGCGATGAGGAAGCTGATGAGGACGACGCGCTTTTCGGCGAGGAGGCGGCTGCGCGCGGGGGGAGGGGTGGGTGGGGTGGGGGTTGTCATAGTAAAAAGGATGGAGTGGTTGTGGGTGCGGTGATGGTGGTGGTGGTGGTGGTGGTGGATGGTGTGGTTCGTTATGGGAATGGGAGGGGAGGCGGGCCTGAGAAGGCCATGTTGAAGAAGAAGAAGAAAAGAGGTACCTAGATTGCAATCGTATTTAGACAAATGGTCCAGAATTCAGCATCAAAACCAGCCATCCAGAATTGGTTGGGGTCCACGTTAGCCAAATGCCAACCCCTATATGCCGAATTCCCCTCACCACGCCCCTGGCCACTTAATTGGCGAGATTGCGGCAATGGCTGGTAATGCCGGGATGTTATTGTGCGGGACGTACGCCCTCGCATCGGTTATAATACCCGTATGCAACGTTGGGCCACGGTACCGCTCGGAGGACTCAGGGTTACTTATATGTATGATTAGCCTTTAGGGCGTGGTTGGCTGAATGCGGCATTGTCAAAGGTCCTCGGCAGGTCGTGCAAGGCCACGCCAATCTTAACAACAAGGAATACTTTGTGTTTAGTCCAGCCAAATTACAGAACACAAATAGGGTCAAGGGATAGGGGTGGTTTGTAATGACACCGCGGTGATAATATTGCTGTACTCAGGCTTGTTCTCACGGCCTCCTATTTGCCCTCGACGAGATATTGATACGAGGGTTGAGGGCTAAAGTCATATGCTGAACATTCAGGGTGGAAATTCTCATATGTTCCTGGAGGGTTCCCGTACATGTAGCTAACGGGAAATGCCCTTTGTGGGACTTCAACGAATCTATGATACTACGTAGGTAGATAGGGAAGGACTAAAGTCGCTGGATTCTCAGGGTAGGTTGAACCTAAACCTTAACACCAAGTACAAACTAGGGGGGGGGGCTGGGGTCCGAGGTCCGATAGCACTCAAAGGAATCAGTTATCTAGATAAAGCACTGAGGCTAACCAAGTAAGGATCCAGGTTGTTGAATTGGTGCCGCGGTCACAACCTCCCAGGTTTTGCGGGCCTACGCAACTCTGTAGCATTCTCTTCCCAGACCCTCAACAACCATTAATTGGGTATATGGTCTAGTGGTATAATTTTCGCTTCGCATATTGGAATATGCCCTTGTGAAAGGTCCCCGGTTCGATCCCGGGTATATCCAGCACAGAGTTGTGGGTTTCCTTTTTGTTTGATCTGTCGGTGAATAGGTGCTTACCATAGTAGAGATTCATAATATGTACAGGTATGTGATGTTAGTGTATCAAATCCCAGAGGTATATATTCTCCCTAAAACAATGATCTAGAGTAGTCGCGGCTCTGGGAGCGAACCTCTTTCTCCTTTTGACGATATGGAATAATGGACATGGAACATCACCAACCATTTTGAGGGTCAAAATTACCACACCCCCAAAGGTTTTATAAAGCAAAACCAAGTTAGGAACAAAAAGGATGGAACGGGCAAGGCAAGCAAACACGTGACCCGTCCAGGTAGCAACGATTCCTTACCCCCTGTCATAGCACGGCCGTTGGTTCTTCCAAGCTTCAGGCCTCCCATCTGGATCATCTTTCATGCCCCTGGCCGAGCCGCAACCATGTCATCACTCATCAAATGGACCAAACAACTCCTGCGCAGAGCCCCATTGACGCCCTTGAAGTTTCCGACGGCCGGCTTTCAAGTCGTGGATGACTCCGAGATACTGGAAGAAGAACGGTTCACTGAGTTTGCAGCAGGCCAGTATTATCCCGTACAAATTGGGGATGTGTACGCTTCTAAGTACCAAGTGCTCGGGAAACTCGGCTTCGGAACCACTTCGACTGTGTGGCTTGCTCGCAATCTCGAGTACGTAGGCCTTCTGTCCGGTAAAGAAAACGAGAACTAAATAATAGACCCAGAAAGCACAAGCACGTTGCGTTAAAAGTCTTCACTCGAGATGGGCGCAGCGCAGACGAGTTTGAGATCTATGAGAAGATACGTAAAGCAGCCACTTCCCATCATCCCGGCCGTCATCACGTTCGAACTGCACTGGACCTGTTCACGCTCTCGCGCCAAGGGAGTGACCACCAATGTCTTGTCCAGATGCCCATGTGGGATAGCTGGAAGGACCTTCTCCGTCGCAACTCAGCCGGAAGATACACCGAGATTCTACTCAAGACCTCACTTCAACAGCTCCTATTCGCCCTTGACTACCTACACACTGAATGCAGGGTGGTCCACACGGGTGAGGCCAGATACATGCCTTGTGGAGCTATCTCGGCTGAAATGATAATAAAATAGACATCAAAGCCGATAACATTCTGCATGAGATCGCCGATGAGCAGATTCTTGAAGCTTTTACCACCGCCGAGCTAGAAACCCCATCGAGGAGGAAGTTCGTCAATGGTGTGCCCGTGTATGAATCACGCGGTTTCGACTTGCCAAAGGTGTTCGGCGGCGTCGTTCTGAGTGATTTTGGATCGGCTGTCTATGGCGATGAGAAAAGGAAATACGACTGTCAGCCGAATGTTTACAGGTCACCCGAGGTCATGCTGGAAATGGACTGGAGTTACCCCATCGACATCTGGAATGTCGGAGCCATGGTATGCTTTCGTGTTCAGTAGCTTCTTTCGGTACCCAGACATCTCTAACCGCAATGCTAGATTTGGGACGTGTTTCAAGACAAACATATGTTCTACGGGTACGATCGGGAGAAGAAATATTACACCACACGGGCGCATCTCGCCGAGGTTATCGAGTTGCTCGGCCCACCTCCCCTCGATCTAGTTCAGCGAGGGTCACGAAGCCCGGAGTTCTTCACGGAAGACGGTAAGTCCCACCCGCTTGCCGTACCTTTCCGCGTCCCTGTTATTTACCTGTTTTGCGGCGCTGGTTTAGGGAAATGGAAGGCCGACATTCCTATTACCGAAGGCAGAAGAAGCCTAGAGGAATCCGAAGAAAACTTGGAAGGGGATAATAAGAAGGAGTTTTTGACTTTTATGCGGAAGATGCTGCAATGGCGCCCGGAGGATAGGATGACGGCGGGGGAGCTGTTGGAGGACCCATGGTTGAATAGATACTAGCACACAGGTCTTGATACACCTCCACTACCTCGTTAGCGATGAGGTACCCGTGTTGTTCCTCCCATCATAAAAATACCCTCTTCTCTTCTCAAGCATATTCCAGCCTACCCGCCTCCCACCCAGGCCGCAAATAGCTGCTGTCAAACTTGACATCCAACGACGAGCCCAACACGTACCGCACCACAACCTCGACGTCCACCCGCGCCCCCTCCTCCTGCAACGCCCACACCGCCAAACCCACGACATTCTCCCCGTTGTAATTTAGCACCCCAACCGGCACGGGGAACGTATTCTCAGGGGAAATCGACGGATAATACCGCCCATACTGCCAGCCATTCACAAACAGCAGCACCCTGTAAGCCAGCGTCTCCCGTTGGACATCCTCCTCTGCCGGCGTAAAGCGAAACGCCAACGACACATCCACTCCCTCCGGCACATCCAGCGGCAGCTTCCCCCTATAAAACCGCACCCCCGCCCCCTCAAACCCCTCCCCAGGCCCCTCTCCCTCCTCCCACTCCCCATCACTATCATCAAACCCCGGCAAATGCCACCCCAACCTCTCCGCCACCAACCCCCCCTCATTATATATCGTGCGCATTACATCCAACCCCCCCCGCTTCCCCCCCGCCGTCCCCGCAACCCGCCACTCCCCCACATCCCCCTCCCCGTCACCATCAAACACCAACCACCCCCCCACCAACCCCCGCAAACTCCCCGCCTCCTCCCCCTGCTCATGCCCCGTATCATCCTGCACCACCAGCACCACATTCTCCTCCTGCACCAACGCCCCCTCAGGAAAGGCCAGCGTCAGGTTGCTAACCGTCGTATCGCTGCGCCCGGGCCAAGAACCGAGGTACACGCCGTTGAGGTAGGCGGACCAGCCGTGGGCGGCGCCGCCTTGGATAGCGAGGCGGATGCCTGTTGGTGCAGTAATATTGGGGGTGGTGGGGAAGCGGCCGCGCCAGAGGAGGGTGCCGGTGTGGAAGCCGTGGGGGTCGGCGGAGAGGGGGAAGGTGGTGGTGTTGGTGGTGGTGGTGGTGGTGTTGAGGGGGGACCAGGCGGGGCCGGTGTCGGGGTAGGAGGGGTGGCGCTCGGGGAGGGCGTCGTGGGATTTCCAGGAGGTGATTTTAGGCGGTTGGAAGGAGTCCGTGGATGGGGGGGCGGGGATGGTGGTAAGGAGGGTGGAGTGGTTGGTTTGGGTGGTGGGGAGGGCGATGCCGTTCCAGAGGATGCGGGTTATGCTGGAGGAGGTGAAGACTTCGAGGGGGGTGGTGCGGTTGGTGTCACCCGTGAGGGAGATGGTGGTGTTGTCGGTGAGGAGGGCGGAGCGGACGAGGTACGGGCCGATGACTAGGGCTACGGGGGCAAGAATTTTAGCATTGTTCAAGTTCAATTTAGGGGTAGGGAGCACGAATGGGGACGTACCGGTTTGATCCACGGGGACCTTGGGATCGTTCGTCAGCGCCGGAGCCCAGACCTTGTAAGCCGTCTTCCGGTCCACGAGTACCACCCTGACGCCGTTGTCAAAGTCGAGAACCGTCATATCTTCTTTTTGGTCGTAGTATCCAATGATGATTCCGTGTTCGACCGCAACAATAGTGACGGGTGGCCCTGATAAAATGGCTCCCTCCTTCGCACCTTTCAGATAGAACTCTCCCGACCTACCCCTGGGCGTCCACAGCACTAATACCGGTCTCCCATCGATGATGGAGTACGTTAGGACCTCGGCGGTCGAGTAGTACAGCGTGTGATCTCCAAAGTGGAAATTAGCCACCAGGATCTTGCCCTCGTGCCCGCTGAGAATCACGGCGCTGGAAATCTTGGGCACAAAGAACTCTCCAATACTGGTGTTGACCTTCAGGGCGAACCACTCCTCTGACGTCGAAGCCGTGTCAGCATGCCGAATAACGTAGAAGCCGGCTCCTGTGTCGGGGTTCCGCAACTCGGTTGTAAAGAGGTCCGTGTTGTTGGTGTAATCGAGACCCGTACCCACACGCTCCGTGTGCGCAAGTTCGTCGGCAACCCTCGTGAACAAGCCCAAGTTCTTGATCTCATAGTACTTGTCACCGATGCTCCGGTCCTCAGCTATAGCAGCGCCATAATCATAGCTGCTGCCGAGGAACTGCGCCGCGAGCCAGCCCCAGTTGGTGCCGCCGTATATCATGTACAGGGTCAGCATGGTAACACGCTGTGCGATGTTGTCCCGGTAGTAGAAATTGACAAAGTCCACGCCCGTTCTCTCCGGGCACCCACCAAGCGGACCGTTCCATGGCGTCGTGGCCCCGCCTTGGAACTCGGGCATGAGGGACGGCTGCTTGGGTGAAGCGTATTGGAACTGGTCTGAGTAGTTGGACACGGCCCAGGGCGTGATGGGGCCGCATTGCTCAAGGACACAGGACCAGCATTGTGGCTAAGTGGGAGGGGGAGATGTCAGTGCCTTGAAACAGAACGGTTGTCTCCCCTCGCACTTACATAGCTGTCCAAGCCGTAGATATCCACGTTTCCACCGGCACCAACGGTATCATAGTCCTTCGACCACGAGGGGCCACTGCGGTTCGGCACGTTGTGTATGAGCGGCACGACAATGCCGTTCGTCCTAGCGTTTTCCTTGAGCTTTTCCATGTAGGACACGGCTTCTAGGTTGGGAACCCGGGCCTTTTCGTCTCTCCACTGTTTCGCGTACTCGTTCTCGATCTGATACATGAGAACGGTCCCGTCTTCAGTCAACTGATATGGCCGCGTGAGTTGGGAGATGCCATCCTGATACGGCGTCCAAGCCTCCGTGTAGGCTGTACCGTTGAGTCGCAGTGCACCGTACTCGTCCGTTGTTGCCCACAAAGCCATGCCCCCACCATTCAGTTCTCCATTGATATGAGGCCCCGGCCGGACCGTCACATACAAGCCGATGTCTTTCGCCATCTGGAGGAACCGAGTTATGTTACGGGGCCCGGTGCTGAAGTCTACCGTATCCGGGGTTGGGGCGTGAAATCCCCAGTGCGTGTAGATCGAGACCATCCGCATGCCCGAGGCTTTAATCTTTTGGAGAATATCTTCCCACAGCTCGGGGACTGGCAGCCGGAAGGGGTGCATCTCTCCCCCAAATAG